TTACATCATCTTCAATTGTCATGTTATCACAAAACTTGCATTTAATATAGAATTAATAAAGAATCAAGAGGAGATTACTCAACAAAAGGCAAAGTTTTGAAGCATTAGAAATCCCCACCTCAAGTGTGCTAGCCAAACAAGCCCTAAGGCTAAGCCAAAATTCAAAATCCTCCTAACCCCTGCAACATTGGTCTCTCAAATGGAAGTCCTCTCCAAGCTCTCCAACTTGTCCTTCCATGGCTTCATCAAAATCCCACTAAAAACCCCTCAAACCTAAGCTTGAAGACATGGAAGAGAATATAGACATATATGTGTAAAGATATAGTGAGAGAAAGCGAAAAGATAGAGGGAGAAAGAGACGGTCGAATATGAAGAGGAGGGGGGGCAACTTCCTCTTTGGCCCATATTGTGCCATTTGTCATACTTAGGGTGGTTACTAATTTTGTGTCAAGTTACTACCTTGCCCTTACTCTTCCCTTGTAATGTCAAACCTATCTCCAAAATATCTTCCTCAATGTATAGATATATACATATGTATATGTGTATGAAAAGACCACAATGCCCCTCAATGCAAATGGTAAAACCGGGAGTAGTTCTCGAGTCGGGGAAATCGTCTCGACTTCCGAAAAATTCTAAAATTAATCTCGTCACATCTCTAATTTACTTAGAATGATTAAAAACGAATTTCTAAAACCCTCGACTCAAGAAATGACTTAAAAGACCCTCAGGGCCCGCGTGGCATGCAAAACTATGATGAAAAATAAATAGATAAAAATTCAAAAAAAAATTGAAAAAATCTGAGACATTACAAAATGACACGACAAGACGGATTTAAGTCATTTATGACTTTAATACGAAATGTTTACTCAATATGTTTAGCTAAATGAGTCATTTTTAACACGAATATGACACATTGAGTTAAACTGGTTATAAACGGGTTGACAAGTCAAATATGAACCCGACACGTTTAATTATTATGTCAATTCAGGTCAACATGATTACGACACGAACACGATTAAGCCAAACACAAACCCAAACTCACTTATCTCGTATTATATTCGAGCAGGAGTGAAACCAATTAAGGCCTAGAGAGGGCATGTACCCCCGTGGCCTTGCTCCAATTTACTATACATATATACATATTTTTATTATATACATATATTTATATGGTAATTTTGAATAATGCCCCCTATAAAGTTTTCAAATCCCTCTAATTTCCTTTTGAAAAAAAGAAGAAGTTTACACATATTTCCCTTCTTTAATTACTTCATTTTTTTTTTTCCTTCTCTAATTTTTCTTTCATTTTTCAAATTTTTTCTATCTTCACTTATAATGTAAGGTGGTGAACTGCATTAAACACCCCATTTTCTATTTGCGTTTTGCACTAAACCCCGTTTTATATTTTTTGCCAAAAGATCCCCCTCAACTATCCAAGGGGGGTGATTTAACAGAAATTAGCTGAGAGGGAGCTATTTGGACAATGAGTTTCTCATATATTTTTTAGACAAAAATGTCCCTATACCTATTTTAACATACCCCCACATATATATCTACTCCATTATCACTATTAGCCGCATATCCTCCACAATTGCAACAACATGTACTCTTATTCTAGCTCAACTTCTTTTATTTACCCATCATATATATATATATATGATTATAATATTATATATAATATGTATCATAATATAATGGTATATATAATATGTACCATTAAATATCATTCATACTATATTTGCATTTCCATCCAAACTTCAAACCTATATAAATCTAAGTTTTTCCTTGAAATTTATTAGCTAAATATTTATATTTTTTGCGAATTATATTGTGCATTCATTTATTTGGTTTTTATTAATTTTCATTTTGTACAGATTTGTTAAAGGGGCAATACGAGAAATAATGCCAAAATTTTTCCTTTTTTTATTTTATTTATGCCTACATGTTCTTCTCTCTTTTTATATTATTTATGCCTATATTCCTTCCATGTGATTAATGTGAACTTAACAGTCTAGTAAAATATTAACATATTAAAATAATAATAATAATAGAATGTTAATTTCTATGAATGATGTCGTTTAGGTTATTTAATAGAAAAAAAAATCAAGACGAACCCACAAAGTAGATTTTTAAATAGGCCTAATGGGTATTTAAGTCAATTTCTATTTCAATTCCCTTACAGCTAACGCCCGTTTGTTAAGGCACCCCCTTGGATAGTTGAGGGGGTTTTTTGGCAAAAAAATAGAAAAGAGGGATTTAATGTAGTTCACCCTATAATGTATGCACTATAATAGTTTTTTCTCTTCTTATTCTTTTTATTTTTCTTCTACTTATTTAAATCAATTCATAAATCGTTTCAAAATGAGAATACCCATCTTGTGATTGTATTTAACGAAAATATTATTAATATTATTATATTTTTCAAAGTATTTATATTTTTACACTATTTATTTAGCATATTATTTTACAATTATTATTATTATTATTATTTTTGCCTTTTGATTTAGAAAAGTTATATTTGTCATACTTGCTGATTTGATTTTTTTTTTCTTCAATCAAGTGCAATGTGTCCCTTGAAATAAAATCTAGCTCCACCCCGTATTCGAGTCATGTTAGCATGTGGTGTCAAATATTGTCACCTTTGCCCCGGTACCAAATAACCCATTTTTCATTCTCTTTTTACTCTGATTCCACTAGGGATAACAATTTCCTCCGACTCGGCAGGTTTCAGCCCCGCCTCGACCCTAATGGGGGCGGATTTGGTACCTCCCTAAATGGGTTTGGGATGAATATGGTAAAATAATTGAAAATTCGAAGCGGGTTTAGGGTGGGGGCAGATTTAATGATGAACCCACCCCACCCCGATTATATATGTACCTCTTTTATATATATATATATATATATATATTAATATTTTTAAGACCCTTGTTATTTTGCTAGAAGTATCAATAAATTTATTATTACTCACTACTTAGTAATTTAAAAACTAGGTCAACTTATTTATCAGTCCAATTTGAGCACATTGGACTAATTTTTATTTTATTACATAATAGGATAATGCTTCAGTCTTGCCTCATTAAGACAAATTGTGTCATGTATACTAACATGTCCTAATAAGAGGTTGAAACCTCTTTTAAACTTAAAAAGATATCAAACATGGGTCATACCCATTTTTTAGGGTTAAAACCGACATATTTATTTTTTTCCTTTCTTTGCTCCTATCTGTGTATCTTGCTTCGTCTACATCTTTCTTTTTCCTTAGGGTTTGTTTGGTTAACATGAAGTAGCTAGAAAGGAAAAGAAAAGGAAAATATTTAACTTTTTTAGAAGTTTGGTTAGAGTGAAAGAGAAAATTTTCAGGAAAGTAATTTTCTTGCAACTGCTTAATTTTCCTCAAAAATTTTCTGACATAAAACACAGAAAAATTTTACTTTCTCGTGAAAGTGGTGCCTTCACGTCTTATTTTCCTATTATGCCCATGTCACCCTCTTCACTTTCTCTATAAGCTTCTATAATAAGTGAGTTTCATTATTTTGTAAATTGCTTATAAGATTATGTAAATACTAATTTAATTGTATATAGTTTTATATCAAAATTAAAATTTTATTTTATTTTATTTTTTTGTTCCACAATTAATAATGATTGAGAGTGATATATATATATATATATATATATATATATATATATATATATACATAAACTTCTCATGACTTTAGGACTCTACTACTGAAATGTATCAAACTCATTTAGTTTTAACCCTACGTATATTAGATATACCAAATTAATTTAGTTTTAGCTTTACATATATTATCTGTACCAAACTAATTTAGTTATAAATATTTTATTTCTATTAGACTGAAGTTTTTTTTTTTTTTTTTTGACTAAAAGTATATATATATTAACTTCAATCTTTTATCCTCAAGAATTTTCGGATCGAAATTTTATATTAATTAAACTTATACCTATAATCACATATATCTAATTATTAAGCATCAGAAGACAAATACTAGAATGACCATTAATTTATATTTGAATTTAAAATTTTAATTTTGTTTATAATTCTGGAGATATGATAGTATCTCAAAAGAGTACAAAGTAATCGTATAATTAAAAGAGTAGTTTTGGGAATTGCAATCAGTTTCTTTTTACTTTCATTCTTTCCAAACTCACAAAACAATATTTTCTTACAACTTTCTTGAAGAATTTTCTTGCTAACCAAATACATAATAGAAACTTGATTTTCTTTTCCTTTCCTTTAGTTTCTTTCATTTTCACTTTCCATTAAAAAAATTCTATCTAACCAAACGGACCCTTAGTTCCAGCCACCAATCATTCCAAACCTAATCTTCCCTATCCGGACCTCCACCACTCCGCTTCAAACTGGATTTCAATTTCTCTTAGCAAGGATTGAATTATTTTCTTGAAACAGGTATTTTAAAACATTATATTTGCCCGTGTAAATTTGAGGTAGATTTTGAAAAAGGGAGAAATATAAATAGTTAGTTCAATTTTTTTTTTTTTTTTTATATATATCTTAAAAAATTAAAAATAACAAAAAAAAGAAGAAGATAGAAACGATAATTTTCCATGAGTTGTTCTCTGGAAGCAAAATTAAGAGTAGATCATTCAATATTAGGATTTGGAATGAGTGGTGGTAAGAGATAAGGGAAAAGAAAGAAGTGGAAGACAAGTACATAGATGAGACCAAAAAGAGAAAAAAAAAAAAAAATAGACATATCTTTTAACCCTAAAAAAAATTGAATATAATTTATGTTTTGTATTTTAAAAGATTTAAAATAGAATATAATTTATGTTTTGTATTTTAAAAGATTTAAAATAAATTTCAATCTTTTATTAAAATACCTTAATATGTAGGACAAAATTTGTCCTGATGGGCGTCGGTTGTCCTGATGGATAGAACTGACGCATTATCTTAATAAAAGTGATATAACCAAAAAAATTTCGTAATTAAATGGAGTAATGAGACATATTTTGCCTATGAAGGCAGGGGGAGAATGGTATATCAATTAAAAAGCTGTTCACAAGTACAACGGAGCTAGTATGACTGATTTTCTATCGGGTGGAGGACGGTTTAGCACTTGGCCCAACAAGTCCTGTTGCCATCATCCCTAGATTCCACCCATCCAAAACAAACGAGCTACCCCAATCTCCGGAGTTCAGAAGCAAACGACGAGAAGCACTGTGCCAGTGGCAATGTCGTACGGCACAGAGCTACCCCAAGATCTGGTCCTTAACATACTCTATCGACTCCCCGCGAAGTCTCTCTGCCGATTCAAATGCGTATCAAAGTCATGGCTTACTCTAATCTCATACCCTCATTTCGCCAAAACACACCTCAATCGAAGCAACAGCAAAACCGAGAGAGCCATCCTCATTTCTGATGATCTGTACTCCGTCGACTGCGCTGAAGCATTCAATAACGATGATCTGATTGCGACGAAACTTGATTTATTTTCGATTGAAAAGCAATACGAGTTTGAAATCTTGGGTTCTTGCAACGGTTTGATTTTAGTTAGAGACGCAAACTGCACCAAGTTTTTGTTGAACCCATCAACTCGAGAGATCAGAGAGTTACTCGATTCCCCTTTTGCCCCTGCTCACGCCATGAACGGACTTGGGTACGATTCGTCTGCAGATGATTTCAGGATTGTGGCAATTGATGTTAGATCTGATCCTGATCCCGATGCTGCTGTTGTTGATGTTGAGGATGATGAATCCTGTTGTACGTATACAATTGCAAGTCTGTATTCACTGAAAACCGATTCTTGGAGGAGGATTCAAGATGTTCTCAACTATCATTATCGTTCTCGTATCACGACTGTCTCGATGGTTCTTGTAAATGAGTCTCTACATTGGTTGATTTTTGGGTCTTACGGTGATCGGTTTGTGATTGCTGCTTTTGATTTAGCAGATGAGAAATTCCATGATGTGCAGAGACCTAGCTCACTTGTCAACAATAATGTCCATTTCACGTATATATTGGGAGTTTGCAGAGGGTGCCTCTGTATTTTTGTGTGTGGTTATAGTTTCCAAATCGAAGTTTGGGTCATGAAGGAGTATGGGGTTACTGAATCTTGGACCAAACATACAAGGTATATAGGTAATATGTACATGGAGCAACCCTTATATTTTCTGGTGGATGAGGAAGTTCTAATGAGAAAGGATAGAGATGAATTGTTCGCATTCAATGCAGAAGAGAAAACATCAAGAGAGATAGTGGTGCGTGGCATTCCAGCTATGTTTAGAGGAGGGATGACCTATGTGGAGAGCCTTGTCTCGCCCTATCACGCCCATGGGATTGATGGGTAAAAACATGATTCTATTCTATCTTTTTCTGTTTAATTTTCATATATTCATATTATTTATGCCACCATGATATGGATTTTTTAGCATCGGCATAACAGTGCATTCAGTATTAATTATTGAGTGATACATTTTCTAGTTCGAAGTTGAACTATGTTGTTATAGGTTTATAGTGGGGGTTTCAATGTTGTTGAACTTGGATTTTTTCTATACAAATAAAGGGGGTCTATTTGACATGGCAAGAGTGCTGTTTTCCTTTGATGCATGTACCTAAGAGAAAAGCAAATTTCAATTCACACAGTAATTTGGTCTTTCTAGGTTTAATTTTGGCCCATGTCTGGTTGAATTGTGTACAAAAGTCCTTCTGCCAAAGTCTGAAGATACAGTTAATATGTAACTAAAATTGTTAGCCTCATTATTGAGTTAACAGGTTTGGTTGTAGAAAATAATTGAAGAGATCATTTATGTAAATATGCATGTAATTGAAGAGATCATTTCATTCTATTCCACATTAATTAGAATCCCACTTGGAAGTAGCTTCTTCAATGGTTGTCAGCGTGCAAATTAAACCATAAGAACTGGGTTTTCTGACTAATCTAGTAATAGGTGAGAATTTATTCAAGACACCATTTGTGGACTTGTATTTTATAGGAAACAAAGAAGAAGATGACTTGTTAGAGAGAGTAAATATGCATGGGTAGTCCTAAAGTCATATCCAAAATATGCTCTTCATTCTCCAAAGCAATTCTACCGGCAAATGAGATTGAGGATCATATGTTCGAGTTATGGTCGAAGTATATATACATGAAGTATTTCACTATTTCCTGAATCTGTGGATATTTCTGTTCTTAAGTATAGTTGGAAGCCCCAAATCTGCTCTTTGTCAATCAGTTGAACACTGCAAGGGAAACTGTCCAAAGAAGTAATCAACTGTAGCACCTGTCTGTGACAACACAGTTCCAGAGACATTGGAAGAGCCCATTTCTGTCTTGAAGTGGACTGAATGTCACAAGAATTTAATTAACTTCTCTAGGAAGCAAAAAATCAAAAAGTTAATTGAGGTAATGACATCTTCAGTATTACAACTTACAAGAGCTCCACACACCTCTACTGTTTCACATGATTAGTATCTGGAATTTAGTATTTTGAACCGAACACATTCCCAGCTGGAAGTTCAAAAATGGATTTTACCAAACAATCTTGATTTTGTTTGTCTTTTGGAAACTCAAATAAGAGAGCTCTTTTTTAACTAAGGAGCTCATTTTCAATTGGCAATTGATTAGTAATCATTGTCCATTAGACACTATTAAAAGGATGCGCTTGGAACATCCTCGAAGTTTGGTGCAAGCAAGAAGTTTTTGCGGATATTGTGAGCAGGGCTTGGAACATCTCTACTATGGGTAATCCACACGCACATATTTCCCAAGAATCTTAAAAGTGTTAAAGAGAAGTCAAGGACTAGAATAGAACTGCTTTTGGTCACATTAATTATCAGCTTGGAAAGGCCAGATCAAATTATGACGGTCTACAAGAAGCTCTTCAAAGTGATCCTGAAAATGAAGAGTTAATTCGAGGTGAGATTCAAGCTAGATTCAAAATTGTTAGCCTCATTGTTGATTTGTCATTGGATTAGGTTTCAAAAGAATTGAAAATATCATTTATGCATTACTCATTTAATCTCATTCTGTTAGATCCCATTTATTAGGGCCACGGATGATGGAACCATGGAAGTAGCTTGCATGCTTGATTGGGTGAAAATCAAACTATGAGAAGAAGTTGGTTTTTCTGGCTGTTCTAGCACGAGGTGAAAAACTCCTTTAAAATCCCAAGTTGTGGACTTCTTTGGATATATCAAGAAGGACGTACATTATTTCTACTCTTAAATATTAGAACTATCTAGTCATCTTTGCATGTGGAGAGTGATCAACATGATGAGCCACTTTACCTTTGGGATGATGTCAACTCTTATTCCTTGTTATATTCCCTTTTGTAATATATTCCACTACAACTAAGGTTATTATTCATTTAAAAGTGTCTCTGTGTGTGTGTGTGTTTGCACACAATTATAGCTTTTTAAAACCTTCGCCAAAGTGATGAACTGCAAACCTTTTGTGTGAAGATTGCTGTTTTTCTATGTAATACCATTATTTTATCTATTCCACTACAAAAGTAGGGTGTTTATTTATGTGTGTGTGTGCGCGCACGCTTGTCCACATGCCTGTTTGTGGAAATCTATGACATCTAAAAACTAGAGTGAATAATGTCCATTCCTATGACAATGGGGTTTTCTGATCTAATAAATTTCAACCTCCATTTCTAATACAATATTATATATTTTGTTGTACATAATATCAGGTAGTTTACCCTAATCAACATTGCTTTCTCATAGATGGAATGTAGGCAGTTCAACACTAAGCTTTATTACGACTATACCAAGTAGTCTATAAGAATGTTTCTTTTATTTGCTGAATTGTTTCTCTTATGTATGGAGCATAGACAGTTCAACATTAAGATTGCATTAATTATGCTAAATGGGCTAAGAATGTTTTAACTTATTGCCCTGCCTAGACCAAAGGGGTCATTGCCCGGTGCAATGCATGTGCATGTTCTGTCAAATGCAAGACTGCATGTTTGAATTCTGATGCAGCCACTTTCTGCAGATAATTCCAAAGGTTCGGTCTTTATCATGTTTATCCTTCCCAAATACTTTCAATTGACAGGGACCATATTAGGTTAGGACCCTTTTATAGCCCCTAGCCTGGTCTAGAATTCACTTTATTGTGACATGGATTAGGTGTCCAATTGTCTTGTATTAAAAAATCTTTGATGTGAAGACATATTCTGATAACATGTATTTATATACCTTTGAGTTTTTGTACATTTACAAGAAGTACAATTTGACATGAAATCAAATCTAATGTGGTCTGTGGCTTTACCTTAGAGTGAAAACATGTTGACTTTCTCTAAATATCTAAAGTGGCATCGGGATATACATGACATGGTGTCATGTTGGAAAGTATCTCTCACCAATCATTATTTTTTTTTGATAAGTATATTTCTCACCAATCATCTACCTGGAGAAGTGTCCTATGTATCATAAATTGAGAATTACTTGTTCCACTAATCTTCCTTGTAAGGGTGGACTATGCACTTGTATTCGTGCTAGGTGGCGACAACTAAACCTCTGTTGGGTGGCGGCAACTACTACGTTGGGTGGTGACAGCTAACACAAGTTGGTGCCAACACTTATTTTGATATTTTGTGTTTTCTTAGTTCTTAAATATTTAACTCTTTGGTGCCTATAAATAAGTATATATGTATCAATTTTGGATGATTTAATAATATTGTGTTTTTGAGTTCCCTTCTCTTTGTGTTCTTTTTCCCAAGTTCTTACTCGTCTTTTACCCTTGGTCACTCTAGTCTATCTATTCACTCTTATCTTCTCATCCCCTTCATTTGTTTCTTTTGCCCTTTCTTCTGGCCTCGTCTCTTCTTTCCATTCTCATCCCCTTCTTTCATTCTTGTCCTGCATCAGCTTTTTATTCTATGTTTATAGCAATGGCACAACAATCAAAAGAGCAAGGGAGGGGAAGTTTAGTGGATAAATTTTACATTCTATTTTGGTATTTTATGTCTTCAAATATTATACAAGACTATTACCTGAATTGTATAGGATTTGTATAATCATGTTATAAGTGAGTTTCTATTGTGGATTTACTTGAGATACTGGATTAGTATCATCATCATCATCATATTGTAAGTGGTGGTGTGAACTCAATTCATAATTTCATATACATGTCAATGTTTCTAGCAAGTTCCTGATATAACATAAATCTTGCACATTGTAGAGTTGCAGCAATAATTTCATCTTTGTATTCAAGATGTTTGTTTAGTTTTTCCCTTAGGATTTGCACTCAGTTTCTCTTCAACAAAAAAGGAAGGAAAGTGAAGGGAAAAAGAGTTTCTATCTTCTACACAAGTAAAAGACAACCATGGTCTGATCTCATCTTGAGACCATGGTTTAATGTTTTAAGCAAAGGATACAAGCTGTCTCACCAAATAATTATATTGGTATTTTGTTGTCACCTTATATTAATTGGAATCACAACAGTTAATATTGACTTATTCCAGGTTTTTTTTAGTCTTCTAGGAATTTCTTAAATGCTTTTGATGGTAATTGCATCACATTATCATCAAATATTACATTCCAAACTTCAAAGCCGTTCAGATCCTTTTTGTAGAGTGACTCTGAGCTAAAACTCTCTGGATCCAAAGTAGCTTGGTCAAATGTTGCTAGACCAAAATCTGAAGGCTGTTTGGCAATTAAATTTTTAGCTAATTGGAATAAAGCTATTATGGGCAAAAACCAAATTTCTAAATGGTAGGTGCATGGAGGAAACTTTTACAAATTAGAAGCACATTCAGACCTTGTATTCAGCACATTGTTGGTGACAGTAGTCAATCTTTCTTGTAATTTATGTACTGTTTATATTTATGTTCCATTCCTCAACTATATGGGGATAGATTGGTACATGTTTCTGGTTTACCCGAAAATGCAAAGGTGAAAGATACTTTTAGGAATGATCACTGGAATTGGCCAGTTTCTCTTCCAATATCTTCTCAACTGTTCTCCTTAATTTACAATCTTCATTCTTCCCACTCTCTCTAGTTTAAATCTTCTTCAGTCTACTCTATCAAACGGTTCCCTTCTTCAAAGTCTTTGTCCACTTACTCTCGTTGGACTTTTCTGAATCCCCCTGAAGTTAAGGTCAATTGGGCTCATCATCTCTGAATTTATAGTGATGTGTTCGGATTCAGCTTCATTTTATGCTTAACTATTCATTCTAGACTTAGTACTGACCACTGAAGATAAGCTTCATGCATACGGAATTATCTCTTCTATGAGCTGCCTTTTGTGCAGAATTCCCTTAGAAGACCAGATCATCCATTCTTCAATTGTCCTTTTTCTTTTAGATTTGGACTACTGTTCTTCATAAACAGAGAATTCAGTTTTCTCAGCTGCATTTTGGTACTTGGGGTAGCATCATTACTTGGGTTTAGCCATCCTTAGGAAATCTGTTAAAGCTACCCTCTCGAAGCTCATTTTGTTTCCATCTGTATATAGGCTTGAGAGAAATAAAAGGCGGTCTTCCAAGAATATGTGAATGTTAATACTGTGAGTGCCAAGATTTTTAATGCTCTCAGGTTTCAAGCTTCATCTCTTCAGAGAATTTTTTTCTTTTTCTGCTAATAAGTATGTCCAAAGAGTCACAATCTTTCGGAATCTATATTCAGTTCATTCTCTTGTTCATATGAATTTGTTATATCTTTGCTTTAGATGGATGGTGTTGTTTTCTGGGTAGTCATTGTTCTAGATGGATGTTGTTGTTTTCTGGGTAGTCTGACTTATGGTTCCACGTGGTGTCGGCTGGACACTTGTCATTGGAGGAGTATGCAAGTAGAGGCAAATTGTTGTTGTGCTTTCGTGTGAAATGATGACGTATGGTTCATGGGTATATTAGTAATTTTTTATTAATGTTAACCCCCTCAGTTAGTAGAGGGGGGTTTTGTGCCAATATAATTAATAAATAAATAAATAAATATATATATATATATATATCAAAAAGGGGGTTTATTGCCAATCGCTACAAGTTAAGGTGTTTTTTATGCAATCCGCCTTTATATATATATATATAATTTCCTGAAAACAACAGGAACAGAAGAACTAAGGTATGCACTGAAACAGCATTATGCGTTAAACATATAAGCAGTATACTTTTATATTCGCTTACTATTCAAGCTAGAAATTTTACTTCATCTTTGAGACCATTCTCTTTTATTGTACAAAGGATGTGTGCAACAAGGCAATTATGATAGACAAAATGTCTCTAATGACGAGTGTTCTTCCATATCCTATGATTCCTCCACTAACAAATGGAGTTGCTCCTCCCTTCTTCCTTGTTTAAATTGGGTTAACTAGCCAAAGAACCAAGAAACTGTATAATCTCTTTCCAAAGGTTTGAATTTCTTGTGTGGGCTATGTGCATATCTTTTCTAGGTTTGTTATGCACTTGATACTCCTTATGTTCTTTTACTTGTCTATTTGTAGATGACCTAGAGTATCTGTATGATATTTATGTGATTTAATGAGAATTCATGTGTTGATTTTCGTGTATCTTTTGTTCTTTGTTTCTTTTGCGAATTGTTCTTTGATTGTAGTTGATCAAATAATCTTTTGCTTAGTGTTCGTGAATCACTGGTTGAAGACTATAGAGCCTGGAGAGGACAATCAATGGCACAGGCGAAGGCAAAGGCAAAGGCAAAAAGATACACACTGGATATGGGTTCGAGCTCAAGGAGCATTGAGGCTTCCCAATTCCCATTCTATCGCTGATCGCTGATCATTTCTTCCGAGACTTCTTGGATTGCCTCAAGTCCACTTGAACTCTAGAAACACCAATTTATGAGAAGTCCTTCAAGATGTTCGAGGATCCCTACTGGAGGGAAAGATTCATCAGTATGCTTGACGAAAGGAAAAGATATTAGTTGGTATCCGCAAATGAAAGCTCTCAGTTTTATCATGTTGAAATTTTGTCACGTTCAGGTAGCGAGTATAGCAGCTTTGCTTGATGATGGCACTATTTTTTTTTTGGCTTTCCATGTTGTATTAGGAATACTAGGACTGATGGTGCTGTTCTGAACTGGCTATTTAAAAAAAAAAAAAATTAGAAAAGAAAATTGTTAAAACGGAGTTTATTTGTTTATCCATAACAGGTTCTCATTTTCTGCTTCTGTTTCTTTCTAATTGTAATTCAAATTATATCGTTACCATGTGAATGCTTTGAAAGGTTCATATCTCTTATTAAGTTCGTATGTCATGTTATTTTGTAATGCCCAAGGACTTCCTGTAAGCAGCTAGCTTATGCAGGATTTGGTGTCAAAAAGAGTAGTAGGGATGCTGGATGGTAGTATGTGTTTCTGTTTCTCTTTTTGTTTTTGTTTTTGTTTTTGTTTTTGTTTTTATATGTCTTCCTTGCTTTTGATTTTAATATGTTATGATGTGAAAGTAGGTTGTCATTAGGCAAAAAAATGAACTCAGCATTTTCTTCTTCAAAAAATGCCTCAAATATTGACTTTGGCTATAGTTGACTAACCTATAGTTGCTTCAAAATCATTCTTTCTCTAGCACTTGACTTCAGAAAACTACAATTACATAGGCAGTATATTAGGGTGGCTATTTTAATGATGCTTGAGAAAACTACATAATCTCAGTAGTACATTATTAAGTGTTTCATATTTGGTCATAAATCATAGCAAATCTTAGAAGAGTACAAGCTTATAAACACCAGAACAGTGGAAAGTTTTTTTCTTCTGATTCACTTTGGTAGGGTACTTTCCTGGAAAACGACTCAATTCTGACACTACTTTTCACATGGTGCATATCACGTATGGATAGATATTGGTAACGTTAGTGATGGTAGTGGATGTGTGTATATGTCTGTGTGTGTATATATATATTGGTAACGTATATATAGAGGGTGTTGTATAGTTTGAGAGAGAGATTGTATATCACATGCTTTCTTTTTGAATTTTTATACAAGAATTTTGACTTTCAAAATCAGTAGAACAAAATCAGCTAACGGCCGTTGAAAAAAAAAAAAGATAAATAAAAATAAAGTTAATATTATTGTGTTTTGGAATGGAAAGAAATTTAGTTTAAAATTTAAATTAAATTTAAGGATAAAATCATAAAACTCTCTTGTACTAGCATACAAGGACAATATTTGTGTCGAACTTAGGTTGGATGAACTTCATCCAATCTGCTAACGTGGCCCAATAAATTTAAAAGAAGTGTCCGAAAGTAAAATTTAGGATTATTGCCCAACAATTCGGGTTTAACCCATTACGGTGAGATGTCCCCCTCCCCCCCACGGGTCCCTTTTCTTCTCTCTATCCCCCCTCTTTTTCTCTCTCCAAAAAGACCATCTGTATTGTTCACCTATGTTTCTTCACCTCCATCATCCGAGCTCACCAGCCTAACTTCGAGCTCATCATCACCAAGTTCAGTCCATAGTCGTTGCCTGTCGTTGCCGAGCTCATCGCATCGTTCTGGCACGCCGATAAAAGCAACATTGCTTCTTGCCAGTTCTATGCAACGTCGCCGCCGCATCGCTATTGCCGACCATCTTTGCTCACCTCTTTATCGCTAGTTCATGCTCATCGTTCGTCATTTCGTTCAATCATCCATTTTTGCCGTTTCAAATTTGCCGACCGCAGATCCGCCGCCGTTCAGTTCTTCACCACCATCGGATTCCATTCACACAGTTTTCAAGTTGGGTTCCGTTACTTGAAGCTTCACTTATTCATCGAATTGAGTTGCTGAAATTCTAGACTGTCACCTGTTTGAAACTTGGTTTGCAAAAACTGTTCACGCCGCTTGATTACAGAGTAACTAAAATGGGTTAAACCCAAATAGTTAGGTAATACCCAACTTAATCATAACTTTTGCTTTTGGACACTTGTTTTAAATCTATTAGGCCACGTCAACAGGTTGGATGAAGTTCATCCAACCTAGGTTGGACACAAGCATTGTCTGGTATATAATTCTCAAAGAATCGAACCATATTCTTGTTAAATGATAAAATTAACCTTACTATTTAATATTAAATCAAAATGATGTTAGTAGTTATTTTAAAATTATGAATTTAACCTTTGTATGATCCATTCCAATTTCAACATAAAATAATTTTTTCAAAAAATATTTTTCTCTCTTAGATAAAATATATATATATATATTTATTTATTTTTCAATGTTTGGCAAATGTTTAAGTCAAGGTTGAGGTCGAGTCTATCAGACGAGACGCGTAAAATAACTTGTCGAAAATTGATGAATAAGTTATTTTTGTTAGGTTTTAACATTTTTTTCCTTCGTAAATATTTTACGATAACTAAATATCAAAAAATAAAAAAATATATTTTATTAAAAAAATTGTACATCTACAAAAAGAGTCTAAGAAGCACATTTACCCTAATTCTAAATTTAAAGTGTGGATTCAGTACTTTCAAAGTATTTGATAAGGTCATACAGATAGACAAAGAAAATTTGAGTAATTTTTGAAACTGAAAATTTGAAGCTATGTTAAATTTATATGATTCTTAAATCTTGTTTCAGTGGGTTACCTTCTCATCTTAGCAAATGTAAAAGTCAAATCATGCTGAGAAACAAATCCTCTCCTCCTTTGTCTTTCCATTTCTTGTAATTTGTTTATTTTTCTTTTTATTTTTTTTATTTATTTAGTTTTTGTGTGTTTGTCTCTATTCCCTAGCTATAGGTCAGAAAATACGACACAAAATAAAGCATGAAGAATGAGAGAGAGAAAGAAAAAAGTAGAGAGAGAATGTGACAGAGACTGAGAGTGAGAGCGTACGATATATTCCGATAAATAAATGAATTTGAGTAAAAAGATTTAATTAGCCGTGTTTTCACACATTTTAAAATAAAAGGGAGAGGATTTAAGTTTTTATATTAATAAAAAGTGGGTGCATGTGTGTTAATTTCTAAGATAAATAAATAAAAAATAAGAGGTTTGAGGTCTTGTCATTTAAAAATACAATTCTCAACAACTCATAAAACAAAAATTATTTTAAGAGAATTATAAAAATAGTTATATAAAAACTTAGGTAGCATGGGCACAAAGGACACAGGACACGGTCCAGGTACAGCACGATATGAACACAATGATACGGATAATTTTTTTTATTTATTTTTTAAATAAGATACTAATATAGCATGAATACGTTAACAAATAATAATATAATATATATATATAATCATTTTTATTCATTTTATTAGCAAAATAATCAATGAAAGTACTAATTTGGAGTTTAGAATTAAATGTTTGTTATTTTAAATTATATATTATTTTAAGTATTAGTCCATAATATATTTTAAATTACATTAAATTTCATTCTTTTAAAAAAATAATTACAAAATCACACCATAGTGTTCAAAATGTGTCCTTGTCATGTCCAACCAAAAAATAAAGTATTCAAATTTAAGGACACTTTTAGCCATGTTCGACACATGTTTGGGCCGTGCCTACATGTCCCCATGTCTGCATGTCGGGTCGTGTCCGAATGACAGACACGACCTTGACACCCCTAGATGGAGTGTATGTGCTTCCTAGATAAAAGCATACTTTTTATCACTAAATATCCAGAGAAACTGAATTAAACAAGAGTTTTTGAACAATTTTTTGATTTCTAAGTTGTTTTTAAAGGGCCAATTTGGTACACATTTTGTTTTTCAGTATTTTTGTTTTTGTCGCGCGGGGGGGGGGGGGGGGGTAAAAGATATTTTATTTTGTACAGTGCCGAAACATTTTAAAAGTCGAAACACTAATCTGGTGTTTTTACATATTTTCACACTGTAGCACGGGATACTGTTGAAAAAAAACACCCTTACAAATGACATTTTTAAACTAGCCACTATATTATATAAACTTGCAATATTTTTATACCAAACTATGTTTTTATGTTTTTGCTTCTAATTTATTTATTTATTTTATTTATTTATTTATTTTTTATTTTGCAATAAATAGACATAACCAAACATGTTTTCGATTATTATTCAAAACTCAATAGAACAAAAGAATTGTTTTGTTTCGGTTAAAACAAAAACGCAAAAATAAAACACGTACCAATTACACTCTAAGTGACAAACCAAACAAACCGTAGTAGTCTGAATAAAAATTTGATTCATGAAGAAAAATTGGAAGGTTTAAAGGTATGCTAGTTCAAAATGTGAAAGTTATATTTGTTAAGAGAATAATGTAACTAAAATAATTAGTGATATATTTCACCTTATTATTTGAAATCCACAAATCAATTCATGTTCCTTATTCAAACTATTAAATCTTGATTTCGGCTTAGATTACAAGGTTTTTATTTTAAATCCCTTAAATTCATATGAAACCTGAAACTCAAATTACTTCACCAAATAAACATTAGAAGAGCTTAAACATGAAGCACCATACAAAATTTGAGTTGGCTTTGATCCATTTATTGACCTCTTAAATCCGCTAGCTCAGCCGATTTAGAAATTGGTTAGTGCGGGCGTGCTAGAACTAATGACTTGGCTTAATTTTAAAGATCTAGTTTATTTTGTAAAAGATTGTAGATTAGACAATGTATGAGAGAGATAACAAGAAACTCTCAATTGGGATCTAGATTGCCTTGAACGAAAACAATACTTTAAAGGAAAAAGAAATTGTAATGAAATAAAGTAAAATTGAAAAGGAATTAAACTGAAATGGAAAGCTATGGTTGCTCCTAGAATTGAATCTACGTGAGAGGAAATTACAAGGCATAAGAATATTTGCAGAGAAGAATATAATTAACGGAAACTAAATTGAAATTTAATTAAATAAGAAAGTTAATTTAAACTAAGAAAATCAAGTTTAACTTAGAAAAACATGATTGAAGAATGAAAATTGAATTGATACAATTGTTTGAGAGATGGTGGACCCCTGACAGAGACTACCTCCCATAATATTTATACCCAAAATACAAAGAGTTCTACAACAACTTCTTCTCAAAATAAGATAAAAACTATCCTATAACTATATAAAGCTATATAGTAAACCATATTGATTTTTTTTCTTTTTTTTTTTCAAGGCTAGAAGTTTTCCCAAAATAAGATAAAAACTATCCTATAACTATATAAAGCTATCTAGTAAACTATATTGAATTTTTTTTTTTTTTCTTTTAGGCAAGGTGTTAGATTAGTACATATTAAAAAAAATTGAAATTTAACACTTTAAAATTTATCAGTGACGTTAACTCACTGAGTTATCTAGCAAACCATATTGATAACCGGATACTTATCACTTATTCCTGCTTACATCACTATTGTCCGGCCCATTCTCTCTCTGCTACTTGTCCTGCCCAAGATGGGCGTCAAGTTGTCAACACATTGTTACTCCATTTAATTATTACTAGTTGAATAGATGGTAATCTTCTTTTATTGACAGTCTTGGTGTGCGTAGAAATGATATTTATAAAAGAGGAAAACCATCTTCATCTTCTGTTTTTCTTATCACCATTTCATCAACACTAATTGCATTAATCTTTTGCTACATTTCCATCTTCCCATAAAGTCTCTCTGCCTATTCAAATGCGTATCAAAGACATGGCTTACTCTAATCTCAGACCCTCATTTCGCCAAAACACACTTCAATCGAAACTACAACAAAACCAACGAGAGAGTCATCCTCATTTCCGACGATCTGTACTCAGTCGACTGCGCTGAAGCATCCAATAACGACAATCTGATTGCGACGAAGCTTGATTTATTTTCGATTGAAAAGCAATACGAGTTTGAAATCTTGGGTTCTTGCAACGGTTTGATTTTAGTTAGAGACGCAAACTGCACCATGTTTTTGTTGAATCCATCAACTCGAGAGATCAGAGAATTACTCGATTCCCCTTTTGCCACTGAGTACGCCATGAACGGACTTGGGTGCGATTCGTCTGCAGATGACTACAAGGTTCTGGCAATTGATGTTAAATTTGATCCTGATGGTGCTGTTGACGACGATGATGAATCATGGCGTACTTATACAATTGCAAGTATGTATTCACTGACAACCGATTCTTGGAGGAGGATTCAAGATGTCCCCAACTATCATTCTCGTTCTCTTAGCATTTATTCCGATGATATGGTTCTTGTAAATGGCTCTCTACATTGGTTGCTTTTCGGGTCTTACAGTAATTCGTTTTTGATTGCTGCTTTTGATGTAGCAGATGAGAAATTCCGTGATGTGCAAAGACCTAGCTCAATTGTCAACAATAATTTTAATATGTTGTATATATTGGGAGTTTGCAGAGGGCGTCTCTGTATATTTTTATGTAGTTATACTTATAGTTTCCAAATTGATGTTTGGGTAATGCAGGAGTATGGGGTTACTGAATCTTGGACCAAATATACAAGGTATGTAGATAATATGTACATGAAGCAACCCTTATTTTATCTGGTGGATGATGAAGTTCTACTGAGAAAGGATGGAGAGAGATTGCTTGCATTCAATGCTGAAAAGAAAACATCAAGATATATAGAGGTGTGTGGCATTCCAGCTATGTTTAATGGAGGGTCCGGAGGGATGACCTATGTGGAGAGCCTTGTCTCGCCCTCGCCCTATCACACCACCCGTTGGATTGATGGGTAAAAACATGATCCCTTTTCATATATTCATATTATTTATGCAACCATAGTAAGTATTTTTTTAGCATATGCATAACAATGTTTTCAGTATTTATTATTGAGTGATACGGTTTCTAGTTTGAAGGTTGAACTACATTGTTATAGGTTTATAGTGGGGTTTAATATCGTTGAACTTAGATTTTTTCTATACAAATAGTGGGGTTCTATTCGACATGGCAATAATGCTGCTGTTATTCGATGCATGCCTAAGAGAACAACAAAGTTCAAAACACACAGTCATTTGGTCCTTTCCTGGTTTGATCTTGGCCCATATCTGGTTGAATTGTGTATGAATGCCCTTCTACCTAAGTCTGTAAGACTTAAGATACTGTTGATATGTAACTAAAATTGTTGGACTCATTATTGAGTTAACGGGTTTGGTTCTAGAAAATAATTGAAGATATCATTTATGCATTTTACTTATTTCATGTCGTTCTATTCCCCATTAGTTAGAATTCAATGGCTGATGGTCCTATGGAAGTAGCTTCTTCAATGCTTGTTAGCGTGCAAATTAAACCATAAGAAGTGGGTGAAGTGGGTTTTCTGACTAATAGGGGAGAGTTTATTCAAGACAGAAGTTGTGGAATTCCTTGTATTTATAGGAAACAAAGAACGAGATGAGTTGGCAGAGAGTGTAAATATGCATGAGTAGTCCTAAAGTCATATCCAAAATATGCACTTCATCCTCCAAAGCAACGAGAACGAGGATCATATGTTCGATTTATGGTCGAAGTGGATATACATGAAGTATTTCCTGAATCTGTTGATATTTCTGTTCTTAGTGAGCCCTGTAAAGTTGATCTTAAGTATAGTTGGAAGCCCCAAATCTGCTCTCTGTCAATCAATTGAACACTGCAAGGGAGCACCAGTCTGTTCAACCTGTTTGTTCAAATAGTGATATCAACAATTCAAATGAGTTAATCAAAACTTGCAAACCAACCCATTCTACCTCTTGGATCGTGACTCTAACACAGTTCCAGAGACATTGGAAGAGCCCATTTCTGTCTTGAAGAGGACTGAATGTCACAAGAATTTATTAAACTACTCTAGGAAGCAAAAAATCAAAAAGTTGATTGAGGTAATGACATCTTCTAGTATTACAACTTACTAGAGCTCCACACACATCTGCTGTTTAACATGATTAGCAGCTGGAATTTAGGAGTTTGAACAGATCACATACGCAACAAGAAGTTCAAAAATGGATTTTACCAAACAATCTTGGTTTTCTAATCTTGATTTTGTTTGTCTTTTGGAAACTCAAATAAAAACTCTTTTTTAACTAAGGAGCTCATTTTCAATTTGCAATGGATTATTAATTATCGCTCTCGCTACTTGGGTAGAATTATTGTGGGATGGAACCCTTATAAGTATACCATGCAACTTATCCCTGAGAGTGATCAGTGCATGTTATTGAAAGCTTGCATTACCCAGCTTCAGAAAACCGTATTTATTTCCCCTTTATATGTTGCAAACAATTTTCAAGATAGGAGATTTCTATGGATCACATCAACCAATATTCTACCTTGGTACACAAACCTTGGATGTCACTAGGTAACTGGAATTTATAAGATACAAAGAAGACAAAAGAGGATGCCTCAAGGTCCCCCAAAATGGTCTAGATGAATTTAATGGAGTGATCAACATTGCCAAGGTGCTTGAAATGAATATTATAAATCGAAAGTGGACTTGGTGCAACAAACAACACGACAGGAGGATATATGCTATAGTTGGACAGATGCCTTCTTTGTGATGATTGGCTACAAGAATTCCCTGATACCCAACTTGCTTTATCTACAGCAAAACTTTCAGACCATTGTACTTTGTCCATTAAACAATATTAAAAGGATGGGGTCTAACCCCAAACCTTTTTAGAATCCTTGAAGTTTGGTGCAAGCAAGAAGGTTTTGCGGATGTTGTGAGCAGGGCTTGGAACATCTTTATTGTGGGTAACCCGTAACCCCATGCACAGACTTCCCAAGAAGCTTCAGAGTGTTAAAGAGGAAGGCAAGAAATGGAATAGAATTGCCTTTGGTCACATTAATTATGAGCTTGCAGAGGCCAGATCAAATTATGCAAGCCTACAAGAAGCTCTCCAAAGTGATCCTGAAAATGAAGAGTTAATTCAAGGTGAGACTCAAGCTAGATTGAAAATTGTTAGCCTCATTGTTAATTTGTCATCAGATTAGGTTTGAAAAGAATTGAAAATATAATTTATGCATTACTTATTTAATCACATTCTATTAGAATCCATTTATTAGGGCCACAGATGATGGAACTATGGAAGTAACTTGCATGCTTGCTTGGGTGAAAATCAAACCAGGAGAAGAAGTTGGTTTTTCTAGCTGAACTAGCATGAGGTGAAAAACTTCTTCTAAAGTCCCAAGTTGTGGACTTCTTTAGATATATGACAAGAAATTAACTATTAAGAAATAAGAATATGCATGACTAGTAGGATAATACAAATAAAACAAGATAGAAGGACGTACATTATTTCTACTCTTAAACATTAGGACTATCTAGCCGACTTTGCATGTGGAGAGTGACCAACATGATGAGCCGCTTAACTTTGGGATGATGTCTGCTGTTATTCCTTGTTCTATTCCCTTTTGTAATATATTCCACTACAACTAATGCTGCGTATGAGAATGGAACGAAATGGAATGGTCATTCTCATTCTATTGTAAATGAATTTCAAATTTAATTGTACAAAATACCCCCGTGACAAATAAATTAAATTAAAAAAAAAAACATTATTCTATAATTTCTTTAAAAGAAATGGCGGTGTTGGTGAATGTGGAAGGCGATAGTGGTGTAGGTGGTGATGGTGGAGGCAGCAGTGTAGATGGCAGTGGTGGAAGGCAGTGGCAGTGATGCGATGGTGGTGGAAGGCGGCAGTGATGGAGGTGGCGGTGGTGGTAAGCAATGGAGGTGGCGGCGGTGGTGGTGGTTTTTGGACTTGGAACATGAGTGTTTTTTTTGGAAACTTGATTTTTTAAAAAAACTTTACTTGGGAATGGAATGGCCATTCCATAGGTTTTGTTGTGGAATGGATCTTCTTTCCTTGGAATTCATTCCAAGGGAATGGTTATTCCCATTTTAAATTTTATACCAAAGGAATAGTTGGAATGAGCATTCCATTTCATTTCATTTCTACGTACCAAATGCAGCATAAGGTTATTTTTCATTTAAATGTGCGTGCGCGCGCGCACACAATTCTAGCTTTTTTAAACCATCACCAAAATGATGAAGTGCAAACTTTTTGAATGATGATTGCTGTTTCTCTGTGTTATATTCCCTTATGTTATCTATTCCACTACAAATAAGGTTGTTTTTCATTTAAGTAGGTTGTTTTTCATTTAAGTAGGGTCCATATACTATACTAAATTTCATATCATTTGATTGATTGATTAACTTTTACTTTTGAATTCATCAATGTCAGCAATAATAAGTGTAACTAGAAAATGATGGCTTGTAACAAAGAGCGCAACTTTTCCACGTCTGTTTGTGGAATTCTATTTTTTTTTTTTAACAAATTAAGGCCGTTACAGGTTTGTCAATGCTCCAAGTTCCTTCGCTCTTCGACATCTAGAAAGTATAGTGCATAATGTCCGTTCCTATGACAATGGGGTTTTCTGATCTAATTATAACCTCCATTTCTAATACAATTTTACAGTTTTTGTTGTACATAATATCAGGCAGCTTATCCTAATCAGCATCGCTTTCTTATAGACGGAATGTAGGCAGTTCAACACTAAGTTTTATTATGACTATACCAAGTAGATTATAAGAATGTTTCATTTATTAGCTGAATTGTTTCTCTTATGTATCGAGCATGGACAGTTCAACAATAAGATTGCATTATCTATGCTAAGTGGGCTAATAATGTTTTGATTTAGTAGCCTTGTCTAGAAATTTAGGGGTCATTTGCTTGGTGCAATGCATGTGCATGTTCTCTCAAAATGAAAGAATGCATGTTTGAATTTTGATGCAGCCACTTTCTGCAGATAATTCCAAAGGTTTGGGCTTTATCATGTTTATCCTTCCCAAATACTTTCAATTAACAGGGACCATATTAGGCTAGGACCTTTTATAACCCCTAGCCTGGTCTAGAATTTGCTTTATTGTGACATGGATTAGGTGTCCAATTGTCATGTATTAATAATCTATGATGTGAACTGTGAAGACATATTCTGATAACATGTATTTATATACCTTTGAGTTTTTGTACATATTCAAGAAGTACAATATGACATGAAATCAAAACTAATGTGGTCTATTGCTTTATTTTAGAGTGAACATGTTGACTTTCTCTAAAAGTATCTAAATTGGCATCGGATATCAATGACAAGGTGTCATGCTGGAAAGTGTCTCTCACCAATCAACCTGGAGAAGTGTCCTATGTATCATAACTTGAGAATTACAAGTGTCCTATGCACTTGTATTCATGCTAGGTGGAGACAACTACACCGACGCTGGTTGGCGACAACTAAACCTTTGTTGGGTGGGCATCTACTATGCTGGGTGGTGACAACTAACACGAGTTAGTGCCAACATTTATTTTGATATTTTTTTGTGTTTTCTTAGTTTTTATTTTAACGTTTTAGTTTTGAGTTCCCTTCTCTTTGTGTTCTTTACCCAAATTCTTGCTCTTCTTTACCCTTAGTCACTCTAGTCTATCTATTCACTCTTTCCTTCACATCCCCTTCGTTTGTTTCTTTTGCATTTTCTTCTGGCATCATTTCTTCTTTTCATTCTCATCCTCTTCTTTCATTCTCATCGTGCATCAGCTTTTTATTCTATGTTTATAGCACTGGCACGACATTCAAAAGAGCAAGGGAGGGAAAATTTTACATTCTATTTTAATTCTCTCTTGGGGTGCCATTTTTTCAGGAATGGGAGGATACAACAACTTAATTTAGCAGATTTTGGGGCAAAGTCTGCAATCATATAATTTTTAATGTCACGGTCCAATGATAAAGTAGCTTCATCTACTCAATATAGAAGCATTTATTTGAATATGTTCCCATTTCATTAACGGAGCCTAAATTTGACTCCTCCAAGTGAATATTAATTTTTTTTTTTTCATCGTACAGCCTAAAGTAACAATTAACAAGTTAGTGATTTGTGTGAATTTAAGGCCTGACATGGTAGACTGAAAAGACAAATATACAGCATACTTGCCACGTGACATTTTATAAAATTGTGTGTAAGATGTATTTATATATATTGTCTGTGTGACGGCTAAAGTAACAATTAACAAGTTAGTGATTTGTGTGAATTTAAGGCCTGACATGGTAGACTGAAAAGACAAATATACAGCATACTTGCCACGTTACATTTTATAAAATTGTGTGTAAGATGTATTTATATATATTGTCTGTGTGACGGCTAGGCAAAAAGTATCTCTAGGGTGAAAGCATAATTGTTTGGAGATTTTTGTGATTAAAGTTTGTAAAGGTTGACTATTTTGTATTGGCTGTCAACATGAATCAACTTTTGTTATCCCTAAACTGCAGGTGACTGTATTAATGTATGGTAATATAGGTTCTGCTTGAACATTGTGTCTGAGTAGGAGTTAGGATGCATTATTAGAGGATATGATTATAAGATTTTCTAACAGTGTTGAATTGGAAGTGTTCATCAGTATGTTTGAATTAGCACTTCCTCTTTGATTGTGTGTTCTATAAACCAAATTTCTGTCTAGGAGTTTTCTTTATCTTCTTCCATTGCCATCATTTTTAAGAGTGTGTTTTCTATTATAATATTTTCAATTGTTTAATTGAAATCATAGCTTTTTAGCTGCTTGAGTGCTTATTACCAAAGTCGAGTTTCAACAATTAGATAGTTCTATCCAGTTATTTCATTCAATCCTGACATGGTTATTAGCTGCTTGAGCGCTTGAAGTTCATTCCATCTCTTCTGCTTGGGTGTTGCTGGTTTTCCTGGCTGGTTAGCTTTTGGTGTAATTCATTACATCACTGCTGCTTGATTTTGCCACATGAAGTTCTCTCCTATAATTTTACTTGTCTGCTTTGCCTTTTGCTAACGTTGGAGATATGTCTTCATGGTCAGTCCTTGGTGTTGCTTAGAATCTCGTTTTTCATTTTTGTGTTGTTTTGTTTGGTCATCATTTTTATTATACTTTTTAGCTACTTAGCATCTTCTTCTTCTTCTTCCTATTTTATTTTTATTTTATTTATTTATTTTCCTTAGATCTATTTGTACAAGTATTGGGGTTTTTTCCCCCTTGTACTGTCCCTTTTATTCAATCATTACCCTGGCTTAAATTTTTTTTGCAAGTAGATCATTTTGAAGTTGCTTGGTTTATTGAGTCTGAACTCTCATTCTGTATAGCATTTGCCTTTTAGAAACAAATTGTTTCATCTTCTTTTTCTCGTCCTTTCTTTCCAACTTTGAACCAAACACAACTTTTACTGGCTGTCGATTTATTGAGGCGTGATCAAATGAAGCTTGAGACATTTTGCGACATTCCTAATGATTTGAAAAGACAAATGATACAATTTTGTTGATTCTAGGCTACTGGCTCTCCTCGTCTCTTGAGACATTTTGCGACATTTCTGATGATTTGAAAAGACAATGGATAATGATACAATTTTGTTGATTCTAGGCTACTGGTTCTCCCATTCTGGGCTGCTGTTTGCATACTGCTGCGGATATATAATTTTTTTTTTTTTTGGTAAACACACACGCATGCCTTCATGGAAGTTTGAACCCTTCACCTCCCTTTAAAAAGTAAGAATCTGATACCGTTAGGTCACTGGTCCATTGTTAGTTTTAGGTTTATTTTGTTTCATTGTGATGTGGTTGGTTGCTAGCTTCTGTTGCTTGCTATTTGGTCTTATGCCCTTGATGATCAGAAACGACATTGGATAAATGTACTAGGGGGATTTGATGCCTTGAAGACTTCCCTGATGCTAATATTCAGGATATTAAATTCATGTGTCTATTATCTATATATGTTTTTTTTTTTAATTAATTATTTTATTTGTAGTGGTTGATGACTTTGAAGTCAATACGCTTAATCAATGGTGATTGCAGAGGATGACCTGACAGTAACAGCTCTATATACTTTTATCTGCACAAACATACTCAAAAAGCAATCCTTCTCTGGAGATATATTTGATTTTCTTTTAATCTTGTTTTACACTCTTAAGATAGTCTATTTTGATACCAAGGAAGCTTCCCTTGTGAACTTACAACGTATACTAGTTGATTATTAACGATGTGTGTGTTCTTTTGTCCTTTTGGCACGCAGAATGGTGTAGGAATGGAATGAATATTCTTATTCGACTGCTCGTTTGCATTCTATGATTAGAATAGAACTATAATTTTTATTCTAGTGTTTGGGTGGGTAACACTACTTTAAAATTTTACATTAAAGGAGAACTAAATTGATTCATTTAAGTTACACTACTTTAAAATTTCGAATTAAAGGAGAATTAAATTAATTTATTTAAGTTACACTACTTTAAAATTTCGAATTAAATAGGAATCAAATTGATTTATTTAAGGGTCGCGAGTGAAAAACACTCCTATGGTATGCATAGAGAGTTTATAACCCCTTATCTGTTGGGAAAAATTCACATCATTCATTTTTTGAGCAAATAAAGACCTGAATGTTGAAAAGTTTCTCTATAACTGAATAAAAAAATGGGTTAAAAAATAATTAAATGTGAAATGACTAAAGTGTCTATTTTTTATTTTTTTTTTCCTTCTTATATATAAGGGCATTATTGGAAGAGAAAATGATAATTTTAAAATTTTATATCTTAAAAATGTCATGTGTCATGACTAAATTTGTAATCCAATGGTGACCTCAAGCCCTTTTTTTGATCATTTTTTCAAACTTAAGGATGATATTTGCTCAAAATTTAAGCAGTATGGTGTGTTTCTCACTATGCCCTTTATTTAAACTATTTCATATAAGTAAAAGGTTAATTAAAGTAGCTGATTGACATACATTTTTAAAATCAAAATGCATATCAAATTCAATTTCACAACCTTAATAAGCTTAAATTAACTTTTAAACCCATACACTAACCCAAAATACTCTGCACACTATTATACAATCCTGATTGAAAAGTGTGCCTCTGAAAATTTCAGTCCATTGTTTCAGCCACATGGATTGAAAAATAATGACTTTATAGAAGAGAGGGAGATGAATCTTGAATGCCATAGACTGCTCAGACAGGAGGGAGGGAATGGGCAGGGATGACATGAATCCAACTACCTATCAAATCCCCCGAGAGAGTAAAGGTGGAGGTGCTTGAGCACAGTCCCTGCTATATGAAGATCAAAAGATAAGACACAGACATAATTGACAATCCTCTATGTTGAAAATTTGAAATATACATGAAGAGAGTGTGTATCGCAATATATACATTCTTCTAGATGCTGCGCGAAGATGCCTATGTCACTATATATGCACATTCTTCGGAGGTTGCTTCTCCTCTCTTCCTTACCATTTCAAAAACTTTTTGATTCTTTGGCAACGCTAGATCAATTCATTGGAGTATGTATTGCCATTGGCAATTTGCCCAAGCCAATCCAAAGATATTAGTGTTACACATGAAAGTCATTACACAAAAAATCTAAAGTTTGGCGTGACTTGAAACTAGAATCGATGACTATATCAGTTCAAACTTAAAATTCCTCCAAATCCAATTTCAATGCATGGATTTTATGATGCCAGATGCAGCAGCATAAGGGAAGAGAAGAGAAAATGAAATCAAGGAGTTCTTTCGAAAATTGCATCTTTTACCTGCTAATATGAGGTGGACTGAATGATGTATGAATGTTGCAGTGGGCGAGTTAGGGAGGTGGTGATAGCATTTGATGGAGGGACTGGTTTTAGCTTACTGAGGCAAAAGTAGACCAACCAGGGAGAGCATACTCTGAAGTTCGTTCAAGTATTGTCTTTGACATAAGTCGAGGCCTTCCATCAATTGACATTTCAACAGGGAAGGACTTGTAACAGCATACGTCATCAGTAAGCCGCATAAAATCAGCCATGTCTCCTTTATGTGGCTGTTAAACCTCATCCTTTTCCATCCAATCTAGGACTTCCCAATTGATGCATCTGAAAGTTCATGTCTTCACTTGCCAAAAGTCATTTCTGGCCCCCAGAACGCCCTAGTGACCATTTAAAATCGAAATGTGATACTTGGTTGAGACATACACCACTGTATCACATGCATGTGTGCTTTTTACCCTCTTCAACATTCTCTGAATGCCTTCTGCTGCCATATGCGAGACCACCTTGTTCATGCAATGCTCACTTGCAATTTGAGGTGCCAATTGCCAATTGTTTCTTCTTCTCATGATTCATTATGCTTTAGCATGGACTCAAAACATATACCTGCTTACTAGAAGTGTTATCTTCAAATACAAATTTACCACAGACCGGAGAGTGAAAAATTAATAGGCTCAAATCACCAGAAGCTTACAACTCGTTTGGTAATGATGGAACAAATTCATGAGAAGTCAAATTGTAAAATTTCTCACATTATTGTTGATAATCCAAGATATCTAGGTCAAAACCTTCAGATCGTAGAACTTCATTGATTGTAACAATTGTCTCATATATAGTGTCAATTTGACAATGCGAATCATCTGCTACAAAAAATTCATGGACGAGTCCATTTATTTCAATGAAAGAACAACCAGGCTGCTTTTGGATTCCCTGAACAGACATACCTCTCCTCACCCTGTGGACATCACTCCATCTTGAGGCAGAAGCATAAACATTGGACAAAAGAACCCGTGCCACACAAAAGCAAACTTCTACATGAGTTTGATTGGCCGCAAACTCAGCTAGTTCCATGTTCCCATGACTTCTACAGGCAAAAAGCAGCAATCGCCAAATAACCACATCAGGTTGAATAGGCATTGAGCGGATAAATTTCTCTGCCTCAACCAAGAGGTTTGCACGCCCAAGAAGGTCAACCATGCAGCCATAGTGTTCAAGTTGCGGGGTGAGGGAATATCGATGAGTCATTGCATCGAAATAGGAAAGCCCCTCATCCACAAATCCACCGTGACTACAGGCAAATAAGAGCCCAAGAAATGTGACCTCATTGGGCCTAACATCACTTGACATTTCCATTTGCGAAAAAAATTGCAATGCTTCATCGGGTTGCCCATTCATGGCAAGCCCCGAAATCATCACAGTCCATGAAAACACATCCTTTCTAGTCAACCCATGAAAAATTTCAAGTGCCTTCTCAATATCTCCACACTTTGAATACATATCAATTAATGCATTCTTTACAATTAGGTTCATCTCAGTGCCACTCCTTTCACAGTAACTGTGCACCCACCTTCCTTGATCCAATGCACCCGAATGCCCACAGGCAGTAACGACACAAGCAATTGTTGGCAAATCCGCCTTTACCCCATCAACCTGCATCTCCCTAAACAAATCAATTGCTTCTTTATATAAATCCGATTTGACATAGCCCGCTATCATTGAAGTCCAACAGAATACATTTCTCTCTGGCATTCTGTCGAAAACCCGTTGAGCATCGTCTAACCGCCCACATTTTGCATACATGTCAATCAAAGAACAACTCAAATATACATCAACAAATCCACTTACTACAACAAACCCATGAACTTCCCTTCCCAAATTGAGCAATCCAATCCTCCCACAAGTTGTAAGAGCACTCACCATACTCACCCCGACCGGCCTCACACCACCATCCCCCAATAATTCCCCAAACACCCTCAATGCTTCCGCACAACAATCACTCTGTACATAACCAGAAATCATGCTATTCCAGGTCACCACATCACGAACCCCACCGGGAACAAAATCAAACACTCTCTCTGCAGATTCAAACACACCACATTGGAAATACATCGATATCAGCGCATTTTGCACGAAAACATCAAACTCAAGCCCTAATTTCACAACAATGAATTTCTTGGCCTTTTTCAAGACACGAGAATCGGCTACATGCTTTGAGAATGCAAGGGAATGTATACTTGTCTGGGACGACACCATTGTGCCGCATTAGATTGTACAGAGTGATCGATTCTAAAGGGGATGAGCTATGAGAATAGGCTCGGAACATGAAGTTCCAAGCGAAGATGTTAGGGTTTTGGATTTGGGAGAAGAGGGTGGCAGAGAAGGGGAGGGCATTGTTGGAACTGGAGAGAGAGTGGTTGAGGAGTTTGCTTGAGACAACGGGGTCTGTGAATCGACCAGAAGTGATGGCATGAGAAGAAATTGGTTGAAATATTTGGGGTTTGCGTGGTTTTCTAGGAGAGAGAGTGAAAAGCTGTGGTACCTGCAAGTGATGAGCCTAGGGTTTGGGAGGAGTGAGATTAGGGTTTTGGACATTGACGGTACAGGAGGGACGGAGTCACATTTGATGAAAGTGTCTTAACTAAACTGTTTACACACAAATGTGGCAGCCACGGGCCCATGCGCCAGCCACTAATGGCATGGCCTAACGATAGCTTGCGAAACAATATTTTGATCATAATTAATTTTCTTCCTTTTGGGATTACAAATGAAATGTGGCAAAATTAGTTTTCTTTCTTTTGGGGCCGCTCATATCTTTTTGGGGGGATCGAGTTTTTTTTTTTCTTAGATTTTTTTTTTTTTGAACAGTTACGGACAATCACATTGGCTTAGTTTTAGATTTTTGCTTAAACATAATATGTATATATATATATCTTATATCAAATTAAATGTATAATTAATCATGAAAAAAGGATATGTAAATAGTTTTTGGGATTACAGATGGTTACTCAAAAAAAATTTAATGCACTCATAAATGAATTTAGTCATGAAAAATTAGAGAAGACTATTTTAATAGGTTTCAAAATTGCCGTTTGTAATGATTATGGTAGAGGGAGGGAGACTATGAATCTCTGGAAAGAACATATTAAGAGAGAAAAACTAGACTAAGGGGAGGAGAGAGTGACGTGGCCCATGTGGGTGAGAGAAAAATTACCATTTGTGATAAAATTTTCATTTTTTTTTTTTTTAGCTCGTGGAGTTGTGCCCTTTTTGTTTTTTTCATCCTTCTTTTTCCCTCCCTCTATTCGTGAAGTATGACATTGCTCTTTTTTTTTAGCCTTCCTTTTTCCTCCCTCTATTTTGTCTCTATTTATTGTATATTTTTTTTTTTAAAATAAAAGGTCAAATACCTAATTTTCTATTATATTTTTTTGTTTATATTTTAGGGAGGCAATATTCATTTGTAATTCCATTTAAAAGAAAATGACTCTTTTAACCCTAACTTCACAATTGAATAATTATTTATTTT